CTCTTTAATAAATGGTGTTGGAAAAACTGGATTTCAACCTGCCAAAGATTAAAACTAGACCCATATGTATCACCATGCACTAAACTAAAATCAATGATGATTAAAGATCTAAATATTAAAACAGAAACACTAAACTTACTGGAAGATAAGTTAGGTAGAACTTTTGAAGATATTGGCATAGGAAAAGACTTTATGAACAAAACCTCAGTAGCACAGGAACTAGAATCAACAACTGGGATCTAATCTTATTAAAAAGCTTCTGCACTACAAGAGAAACCACCAACAGAGCTAAGAGACAACCTACAATGTGGGAAAAAAATTTTAGCAGCTGTACCCCAGACAAAATACTACTATTTAGAGCATATAAAGAACTGAAAAAATTCAGACCCTCCAAATTTAAAGACCCAATTCAAAAATAGGCATCTGAAATGAACAGACATTTCTCAGATAAAGAAGTAAAAGCAGCAAATAAACATAGGAAAAACTGTTCAACATCACTGGTCATTTGAGAGATGCAGATGAAAACAATACCTAGATTCCGCCTCACCCCAGAAAAAATGGCTGCTATCAAGAAACCAACCAATAACAAATGGTGTGGGGAGAAAGAACCCTTCTCCATAGTTGGTGGGAGTGCAGACTGGTGCAACCACTGTGGAAATCAGTATGGTGGTACCTCAAAGAGCTAGGACTAGCAGTCCCATTTGACTCAGCTATTCCCCTGCTGGGTATCTTCCCATAAGAATTAAAAGAATCACACCACAGTGATATATGTGCACCCATGTCTATAATAGTTCAGTTCATAATAGTGAAAGATTGGAAACAGCCCAAGTGCCCATCAACTGGAAACTGGATAAAGATATGGTTTTTTAAAAAGTGGAGTATGACTCAGCCATAAAAACTGAGAAATTAGAGACATTTATTGCTAAATGGATGCACATTGAGGCAATACTCGTAAGTGAAATAAATAGTGCACACATGTGTAAATACCAAATAGTTTCTCTAGTGTGAGAAACTGAAAGTGTAAATAAGGATTAAAATGATTAAAATGAATAATTGATAATTTGAAATAGGAAGAAAAGGTCCAAAGGTGTAGGGGAGGTGTGAGGGGAAGGGGAAAGGAAAAATTATGAGAAAAGAAAAAAATGGAAACAAAGTCTATGTAAATAGGGAACGGTGGATGGGGTGAAGGGTGCACAGGTAATGGGGAAAAAATAAGAACCAAGATACATCATGTACAGGTACAAGCACCCAATGATAAATGTAAACATATTGTATACCTAAAATGTACCAATAAAATAATTTAAGCAAAAAACAAAAACAAAAAGCAATAGGAAAGTCTTTTCCTAGACATAAGTCTGCAAATCTAAAGGAAAACCCACACTTCCCAAAAGTGGTACAATGACATCTATGAAGACACAGGGACTAGAGAAGCTTTTAAACTTAATTATATAAGCAAGTACTCTTTAAATGTTCATACAGGAACCGAACAAATCATTGGCGAAGCCAGGGACAAAACAACAGCCTGGACTCAGTCTCCCCAGGAGTGGAGCTGACTCTGGACAGCCAATGCAGGTAACCTGAGATCTGAAGCTAAGTCATGAGGTGCAATAGCTCACACAGGAAAAAAGCCACGGATATGTTCCTGTCTTTATCCATCCAGGATGCTATAATGCAATGCCATGGCTCAGCTGGCTTGTAAACCGCAAATGCTTATTGCTCACAGGTCTGGAGGCTGAGAGTCCAAGATCAATGTCCTGGGAAATTCACTGTCAGGTTGAGGGTTCTATTCTTGGTTCATAGATGGTGCCTACTTGTATGCGCGTATGGTGGAAGGGAAGAGGCGAAGCTCTCGGACCTCCTTTATAAGGGCACGAAGCCCGCTCATGAGGGCTCCACCCTTCTTGATCTAATCATCCCTCAAAGGTCAAATTCCAGTACCATCCCACTGAGGTAAGGATTTCAATCCATGAATTTGAGGGTGGGAGGACACAGACGTTAACACCATAGACACCCCACTGTGTTTGGAAGAACAGCATCTTCTGCCTGAATATTCACGGTGTAGAAGGGAAAAGATATTCAAGTGGTAGAAGGGAAAAGAGGACCAGAAACATTTAAAAACAAATCTAAGACAAAATTTCATAAGGCTACTTGGTTCCTAAAGGTATATCGTATAAACCTGAAGAAGCTAAAACTTGCACAATACAAATGGCAAGCAGGAAAATAGCAGGAAATGTAAATCCTGTCCTTTCTTCATCTGTCCTGGAAATGAGGGGTGAGTCAGGAAAAAGCAAGCTCACGAGTAGTGAAGCTGTAAAGGGAATCACCAGAACTAAAAATAAGGATGAAACCAGGAAAAGTCTGGGGGTGGCGGGGAGAGAGGAAGTGGAAGAGTGGCAATTTTCTCTTAGTCATAAAAGAGGCAACAGATGCTCTAGAAGAGAGCTAAATTCAGAAAAGAGGGTTAAGTATAACATGAGGAATTATAAAAAGTATGACTACAGAAACCAAAAGCAGAATATATGACTTCCAAATTACCAAGAGGCAGACCCACAGGGACACAGAGTATACATAAACAAACACACAAATAGCACAGATAGGCCAAATAGCAAAAGATAGGAAGGAAGCTTAAAATAAGGTGATACATTAAAACACAATGCATGCTGCCTTGACAGTGTAAAATAGGATCACTTCATGTATTTTTTTAAAAAGATCTATTAGAATCAGAGGAGAAACTACTATCACTCCATGAGCTTAATGAAGCAAAAAGGGAACAATCAAAGCATGTACAAAATTGGGAATAAAATACAAGGCTTTGATTAAAGGGTGATAGTGGCAAGGTGAATAAATACATATTCTACAGGCAATATCTTACAGTAAATTTGAAAATTTTAGTAAAGAAAGAGCATACCAGAATTATATGAAGTGGCCTAGTGACCAAAGAGGAAGACTACTTCTTATAGAAGAGCAGGGGGAAGGCACTGGATTCTCATAAGGCGCTTGCAACCTAGATCCCCTACACATGCAGTTCCAGGAGCATTTGCACTCCTAGGAGAGTCTGACAGTGCCCTGCTGATTTAACAGGAGGTGGAGCCCAGTCAGTAAGGGCAGAGGTAAGGAACATCTGGAAAACCATGAAGCTTCACCGCTTGCCCACTATGCACTCCCTGCTGTGCAGCCTGGTGGTCCTGGGGTTAATGCCCCAAGTTTAGGGTTTGTATGGAGGCTTCATTGCACAAGCACAATTGATTGAATCATTTTCCTCTGACAATGACTGAAAGTCCAGCATCTGCTCTCCTCCCAGGAAGTCTGGGATGGGGTTGAAAGTTCCCATGCTGTCATCGCACAGTGACCAGCTCCAACCTGAAAGTTCCCAGGGGCCCCCAAATCCATCTCCTATGAATGAACTCAGCAAAGGTTGAAAGGGGCTTGCATTCTAGACATCACAAAGGTTTTAGCATGTCTGTGCCAGGAACCCAGGACAAAGAGCAAATATTAACTTCTTATTGTATCTCAGGAGTGCTTTTCCCTAAAAGGAGCCACAAAAGGAAACATCTAAACAACACCCTGCTTGCTGCCATCTCACTTTCCAAGATTTTTTTTTAATCCATGGTCAATGAAGGACTATATAGAAAAGTCCAGAAATAAACAATTCCTGTTTTATATATTTGTATTATAGTATATTGTGATAATTGTTCTATTTTACTAATTCTTGTTATTGTGAATATCTCCTGTGCCTAATTTATAAATGAAACTTTATCTTAAAGATATATGTATAGAAAAAATAGTTCTGTAAGGTTCTATATGGGAACTTGGACTTTAAGACATCCATTGGGGGTTTTAGAATGTATCCCCCTGCAGATAAGGGGAGAATATTATATATATTATATTTACAAGTACATCAAAATCTTTAATGTGTACATTAATACAGTTAATTAGAATGCTGCAAGATCTGTATGTATTTTCTAAAATATAGAATATTGGTGAAAGACATAAAGTAAGAAATGAAAAGTGGGAGGGACAAACATGCCAATTTTACAAATTTAATATAAAATAAAATTTCAAAATAGAACCTCTGTAGATTTTTCCAATAATGATAGATCAAGGCATTCAGACCAATCTTCCCACTCAAACTAATATTTAAAAGTGAACTTGATGTTTTTACAAACTATCTAAAGAACATTGTAGCACATTGGAGGAATGTGGAGCTCTGGGGTTCCACACACAGGTGAGCAGGTGGGGTGCTGGGTTGCATAGATGCAAGGCTCAGCACAGATGCTGATGTTGAGGTGGATGTAGGAGAGGCAGGGGTATAGGTGCAGACATAGACACGGTTGTGGGTAAATTCAGGTGTGATGTGTGTGTGTGTGTGTGTGTGTGTGTGTGTGTGTGTAGCCTCAGGGAAAGCCAGAAGGTAAACATTAGGTTGTTCTGGGGTTTCTTCATGGAAAAAAGAGACCTGATTTGCATGGAAGGAAAAGATTGAAGGAAAGAGAGACCCAGATTAAAACTGAAAATGAGGGGTAAGGGAACTAATGAACAATTGTTATTCATGGAGTATATTCTGAAATATAAAACTGTATATGTATGTATCTATGCAAATAAAAGTAATCTCAATACAACAGATGAAAAAAATCAAGACAGGACCATGTCGTTTCTAATGGAAAGATGTAACAAAGGTTGTATGTAAAAGGATCCAAGGTCTTACTGAAAAATCCCAACTAAAAAGAAGTAGGGATTGTAATATCTGTAAATATCTTGGGCCCAAGGCAAAGAGGAAGAAAGTATCCTGACAAACCTGCAAGCAACAAGAAAGCCACAGATTACACCTTCTGAGACCCGAGAAACAGAGACCCAGTATTAGGGCAGACAGGACTGGCCCTTGTCAGCCCAATGTCAGGCAGACACAAGTGAGACAAGGATGTAGCACAGTAATGTGTGCGCTTCAAGCATCCATGAAAGATCAACACAAATTAGCCAAGTGGACCGCAAGCAAAACCTCAATAAAGTAAAAAAAAAGAATTACTATACCAACTTACATTATAACAGCGTTGTGTAAGATAACTACAAATTAATCACAAAAAGAATGAATGGAAAATGTTCAGAAGAGTTGGATAGAAAATAAAATATGTCAAATCTTGAAGATGTGCTCAAACTGTGATCTGAAGAGAATTCTTGTAACACTAATACAGCTCACAGCTTCCTCAGAATGAGGGAGATGAATAAAATTAAACCTTAATTAGAATTCAAACGTTCAAAAAAGTGACTAAAAAAACCAGAAGTAAGGAATAATGACTAAAGTGAAAACATATTGAAGTAAATCAGACACAGAAAGTTAACTATCACATGGTTTCTCTTACAGAAGAAACCCAAATATAAATAATTTTAAAATCAAAACAAAAGATAAATGATAGGAAATGGGGAGATGGACTTTGTGGAGGTGGGAAGGGGGCCTGAGGATGGAGGAAAGTGAGCAGAAGAGGAAGGCAGGGAGTAAAGAGGATCAAGATGTGATATGTATATGCACCAATCCCCTACAATAATGGATTTATTATGCATCAAAAACATATACTAATAAAAAAGAGAAAAATGGACCAAGCTTGACAGATTCAGCTGGTGGAGAGACAACAGCCCTCTGCGGAGAGCACTTCCAGGGCCCCATTGCAATGGCTGCCTGAAGCTATAGAGACCAAACCCTAAACATCGTACCTATTATAAAGTTTATCAGTTAGGCACAGCAGTAGATTAACAACACTATCTGATAATACAGTACCGTAATCATAACAAATATACTATAATAAAAGCTATGTGAACAGGGTCTCTTTCTTTCTTTCAAAATGACTTAATTCCTCATTGCATTATAGCAATCCTTCTAGGCTGGGGCTGAGGGCAGGAAACAGGCAGTGCAGAGGTGAAAACCATGGATAGGGAGATCTGCTGGCGTCTGTGCCACCGGGCCCTACACGAGCACCCTGGGAACACAGGCAGGAGACTTCTCATGGAGGCACAGGTGCTGTGATCAGGTTTGGATGTCTGTCAAGGTCCCATGTGTTCAAGCTGTATTCCGCCCTTTCCTCTCTTTCGCTCTGGATTCCTGCCTCTGAGGTGAGCAGTTTCCTCTATTGCACCTCCTGCTATGGCGTGCTGGCTCTTCATAGGCTTGGAGAAATGGTAGCAGTCAGCCATGGACTGAAACCCCAAGCTATGAGCCTTAGCAGCCCTTTCCTCTTTAGAAGTAGATCATCTCAGGTACTTTTTATCATGAGGGAAAGTTGCCTAACACAGTAGGGCTTCTTGATACTTAGTGTTACACCTTGTTACAAAAGGCCACACTGTGTTACTCAGTGTTCATTTGTTTGTTTTACAGTACTGGGAATTGAACCCAGAGTCTTCACTGGGTTACATCCTCCAGCCCCTTTTTATTTTTTATTTTGAGACAGGGTCACACTAGTCACCAATTTGCCCATGTGGGGCTCTACTTTTGATCTTCCTGTTTTAGCCTCTCAGAACGCTGGGATCGCAGGCTTGTGGCACCACACCCTGCTGCTAAGCAGTTTTATAGCCTGTGGATAAAC